GGGCTGAAGTTTGCCTCCCGTGCGGCCCTATTGGTGCATAAATCAAATTAGATTCACAGGACAACAGTTCCCCTCCTCGGAGAAGGAATTTTTTCCCCCGAGCTGTTTAGAAGCCCGTTTCCATGCAACACGCTGAGTGCCTCCTAATCGGCTGGTCAATATGTTGGTTCCAAGCTGCTCTTTTCTCTTTGTGTTGAAAGCACTTTGGGGGCACCTGCTGTTTGTCTGGGGGCAGATCAAGGGTGTTCTGACAATTTCCACTTCCCTAATCTTCATAGTCTGTGCTTTGAAATTCCACGCATCTCGACATGAGTACGTGCCGAAGCCATGACTTAGGTTGCTGTGATTGGGTATTTGGGGTGGTGGCTGTTGCTGTTTCAAACTTGAGCTGCTTGGGTTTGAATTTGTAGGACCTTACAGTGCTGGCTGGGTGGGCCAGGTATCTCTAGAGAGAGAAAACCAGTCAGGGACACCAGGACAACAGGGTTCCCCCTGGGGGTGGCATGGGCACATGTGCGTGCACAAGGACAGTATCACTCTGTAGGGCGGACTCTCTGAGAAGTTGTTCTTGGTAAGGATGAGCCGACACTTGACCAGGCCCAGAAGGGCGACAGGTTGTCCTTTCAAGCTGCTTCGAAGACAGCATTTGGTGTCTGTGACGTCTTTGGTTAAGGAACGGGCATCTTGCATACAGAAGGCTGGGCAGGTGAGCCAGCAGCATCTCCCTGAGCAGGGAAATGAGGCCGGGCTCCAGCTGCCATGTCCACCGGGCGCAGGGCCCCAGGTCTCGGACGCTGGGTCGTGGTGCTTGAGTCCTTGCAGGAGGCCCAACCAGACAGGACAGTGCATCCTGTGTCAGAAACAGGCCGGATGGCGCAGCATGTGGGGCTGCCCGCTGTGCAAGCAGCCGTCTGGGAGAGGCAGTGTGGGACCGAGGGCCTCAGCAGGGCCTGGCCTCTGGGTCGGGCGTCCAGGCAAATGCACCGGCCGCGTTCCAGTGGCTGCCAAGGCCTGACGCCATTCTCTGGGCGGATGCTGTCGGCGCACCTGCCTCTCCTCCCGGCCTTCCCTCGCTGCACACTGGGCCGCAGCGTTCAGCACTGCTCGCGGGGGCTCGGAGCCCCACAGAGGCACCGGCATGCTCCGTGCTTCATGCACGGTGCTCCCTCCCCACGCCCCTGGCCGTCTGCCTTCTGTCTCTCTCTCTATGTCTGTGTCTGTCTCCCTTTATCTCTGTCTATCCCTATCTCTGTGTGTCTCTGTGTCTGTGTCTACCTTTCTACGTCTCTCTGTATCTGTCTCTTTGTATCTCTTTGTATTTGTGTCTGTCTCTCTCTACTCTCTCCATGTGTCTGTCTCTCTCTGACCGTCTCTCTGTGCCATTTCTCTGTCTCTGTTTCTCCCCATCTCCATTTCCATGTGTCTCTGTTCCTCTCTCTCTGACTGTGTCTGTGCTTTCTCTGTCTCTGCTTGTCTCTTTTTATCTCTGTGCATTTGTCCATCTCTATGTCTCTCTCCCTGTGTCTCTGTGTCTGTCTCTCTGTGCTATCTCTCTGACTCCCTGAGTCTCTGTGCCCGTGTCTCTGTCTTTCTGTGATATCTCTCTGTCTCTACCTCTGTGTGTCTCTGGGTCTGTCTCTGAGCATCTCTGTCATTTCTCTGTCTCTCAGTCTCTGTCTCCATGTGTCTCTGTGTCTCTCTCTGTGTGCCATTTGCCCGACTCTCTGTCTCTCTGTGCTGCTTCTCCCTGTCTCTTCCGCAGTCTATCTCTTGCACACACACACACACCATACCCCGTGCCCCAGGGTATTTAGGGGATGGCCCGAGGGCACTGCACACCTAGAGGACGGGATTGCCCGGCCCCACGGAGGAGCGCAGCATGCGCCTCTACAGCCAGGTGCCACCGTGCTTCACCTTTGTCCTCCACAGAGACAGAGGTGGGGTGGGGGGAGGGCAGGGGTGCTGGGGACCTCCCCTCCTTGTGGGCGGACCCCGGCACTTCAGGGGCCCTGTTCCTTCCCCCTGGCAGGGAGGGGGACGCCGCGTCCCACAGCTGCTCCCCTGCCCCGGGGTGTGCCTGAAGCGGGTGCAGCAGCTCCCGGGGGTCAGTCTGGTGTCCGCAGTCAGCTATGGGTGTCACACCCGCGGGCACAGGTGCACCCTGCCTCCTGTTTGCACTCGGGGAGCAGGACACGGCCTCTTCCTGGGGGGGTCCATCCTTAAACAGAGAACCTCTCTGGGAACGACCTTCTCCTCTTTTCCCTCCTCTTAGACGCACGGGCTTTTCTTTACCCCAAAGGGTTTTTAATTTACGTTTGTGTTCGGGCATTTTCATCTGTGCGGGTAGATGTTACCAGGGCGTCGGGTGCTCTCCAGTTTCTGTCTCCTTGCCCTCCTGGTGCTACCTCTTTCCAGATTGTTCTGTCAGAACCCTGCAGACGTCATCAAATGAATCAACTCAGCATTTTTGGGGGAGGGGGCTGTGTGTGGAGTCAGGAGAGGGAATTGTCTCTTCTTTCAAAGTATAAAACAATTCGCTAAAATACCGTCACCGCCCACCCCCTCCTTTCCGGATGCCGTACTTTTGTAATTTTTTATTGCTCTCATATTCGTCAGTCTGATTACTCCTAATTTCCTTGATTAGGCCATAATAATCAGTATTTTCACAGAAAAGCACTCATTTCCCTGAAATGATCATATTTCTGTTACCAATTTCCACATACTAATATAGAGAGAAATAGGAGCCCATAATTATAAAATCTTCCTCATTACAAAAAAAAAAAAAAAAAGAAAAACCACCACTCATTCCTGTTTGTAAATTCGTTTTACAGTCGTGTCCAGTGTCTTATCCGCAGCCTTCTCTGGATCCTCCTCTTTTCTTGTCTGTCAGTCTGTCAAATGAGCAAAGATGGACCCTCGCGGAGCCTCCCATAAGGATTGGGATTCTCTCGCCATCTCTCCCTGCGTATGCAACAGTCGTTGAGAATTACAGCTCGATGTTGTGCTACTCGGAACACCGTGTGGCTGGAAGTGACCTAGCACGACCATGGCGCACCATATTGATCGAGCACTGGGTCCACCGCTAATAATCCTCTGTGTCCCGTTAACATCACAGTCTTGAGTTAACCCTTCCCTATAGGAGCAGGGCCAGGCCTGCTTCCCATTTGCTTGTTTGATAACTTTTGGCCTTTTCATTGCTAATCTTTGCTTTTCAAAACTGTGACCAACGTATCGAATTCACCTTCCACCCTCCCCAATGGGATGCCGCCATATTGTTTTTGAATCAAGATCAATGGCCCAGGGCTCACACCTCCTTCTAGCATTTTCCTGGGTCTTCCAGTTTGTCTGTGTGGACGACTGGTATACCTCGTATTTGCCAGTCATATGTTTGACAGATAGGGTACTTCTGGTCCCCGAGGGGTACATTGAAGATTCTCAAAACATTTTATTTTATTTTATTTTTTTAAAGATTTTATTTATTTATTACAGAGAGAGAGAGAAAGGGAGGGAGAGGCAGAGACACAGGCAGAGGGAGAAGCAGGCTCCACACAGGGAGCCCTATATGGGACTCGATCCTATGACCCCAGGCCTGAGGGCATGGGTGGGATGCAGATTTTAGGTGGATGTGCCGACTGAACCCGTAGCAACTGTGACTTCCTGTGTCTTGTCCGAGCTCAGTCCTGGTGCTTCTACTTGACACGGGTGGGATGCCACGTGCTGCAGCTTGCCTTGTATGTTCCCATTGTTAGGGATGGACCCTGTGACGAGTTCTGGTCTGCAGTGGCTGCCTTTCCCTCCCCAACTGTGGAGCTTGGTTTAGGGGCTCGTGTTCCCTAAACAATGCCAGCCCCCCCAGCACGCGTTCCTGTCCGCGATACCCTGCGGCGCCAAGGGTGGGGGCGGGAGTTCCTGAATCAGCGTAGAAAAGCAGGTGTAGCCAAGCCCTTCAGGTGCCTCAGAAGGCAACGATCCCAAGGTGGAATGGTGGCTCTCATGTTTCTGGCGAGCTGGGAACCCTTTTCTCCAGAGAGGGAAGAACAAGTGTCTCCTGACGTGACAGAGATGCACTACCAGTGGTCTGGCTCTGGAAGCTGACCGTGTCTGTCTACCAACCCTGTTACCATGGGTTCCGGTTAGCAGAAGTAGTGTAGGTTTTCCCTCTTTAAAAAATCAATCAATCAATCAATCAATCAATCTTCTCCTTGTGAATATACATTAGGGGGAAATTCGGATGGTGCCTCAGGAATGCATATCCAGATGGCACGGTGTTCTAGACCAGCGCTTCCAAGCCATCTGTGGCAAGACTCCCTCTTCCCAAACATGTCACAGACTGATACTGATGTAGATGGGTCAGACACGAATCACTAGAAAATTAGAATTCAAAAATATGCAAAAGTGAGGCCTCCGATTTTGCCTTTTTTTTTAAATCATTGAATTCAGCAAGCATAAAATGACTATTGATTTTCGTTTTCTTTAAATATTCTAACCACTGTCCTCAACATTGGCCTTTGTCTTACAGCAGACTGGTAACAAACCATTTGCAGGGTGGCACCCGTCTGTAGATCTCAGTCAGAAGGGCTTTGATTCAGAAGCATGTCCGCCCCCCACTCCTACTATATTTCTTTACAGAAAGTATCGAAAATGGTGCTTCCTCATCCTCACTGGCCATGTTACGTGGCACACATAGGCTTCATACTTCACACTGAGAAGCTGGGGACTGTAGATTATCTTAAAATGTCCCTTCCAAGTGAAAGCAAGTGTGTATGTTCCAAAAATATGTACCCTCCCGACCTAGTGCTTGTGGCTGACTCTCCTGTGTTGTGAATTTTTTTTTTAGATTTATTGTTTTATTTGAGAGAGAGAGAGAGTGCAGGGGGAGTGGCAGAAGGAGATGGAGAGAGAGAGAATCTCAGTCTCCTTGCCGAGTGTGGAGACCTTCATGGGGCTTGAGATCATGATCTGAGCCATAATCACGAGTCGGTGTTTCTGTCCTTTTGCAGTGGAGTTTTTGTATTGCGACCTGGCGTCTCTGAGGTCCATCCGGCAGTTCGTCCAGAAGTTCAAGAAGAAGAAAATCCCTCTCCACGTCCTGGTCAATAATGGTGAGTCCTGGGGAAATCCAGACATTAACTCTGATACACACATGCACGCTGGCTGTCCCGTGAGAGGCGTCCTTGGGGAAAGCAGGATTTCCATGGAAGCTCATGAGTGCATGTGCTGTGGTCCCCACGGCTTTGCTTCATTGATGCATTCGGCTTCTGTCATTGGTGTAATCAGTTTGAGACGACGGTAAGCCTGATACGTGTTGTGTGGAGTTGATATTTTCACTGGCCCAAGTGGGCTAAGGAGGAAGTTGTGTTATGAGTGTGTAAGGCTTGGGCATTTTCACAAATGTGACCTTATTAAATCCTCACCATGTCCCCATGGGCGTCATCAGCAGGCTGCATCCCCCAGTGTCTCTTGACTTCTGCCTTCAATCTGCCCACCTGTCCATCTTCAACACAAACCAGCCTTGACCCTGACCTCGTCTTTCAGCCATATCCAGCTCTTTTTTAAAAAATATTTTATGTATTTATTCATAAGAGATATATACAGAGAGAGAAGCAGAGACCCAGGCAGAGGAAGAAGCAGGCTCCATGCAGGGAGCCCAATGTAGGATTCAGTCCCGGGTCTCCAGAATCACGCCCTGGGCCGAAGGTAGGTGCTAAACCGCTGAGCCACCCGGGGATTCCCCCCATATCCAGCTCTTAAGAGCAACAGAGACAAGTTTGGTTTTTCACCTTCGTACCTGAGACATTCCTCTCTTCCCCTGCTACACGAAAAAGATGTCATAGAAGTTCACCCAAACCCTCCACAGGGAGGAGACAGCACCATTAACATGTCCCAATGGAATCCACATAGAACACCCAAACTACCGGAAATAAGGCAAAATGTCAGGCATCACTTTCCATCTCAGAGACCACCTGGTTGTACGTAGAGGAGATACATGGCGTTATTAGTACAGTGAAAGGAATAGCCACAATCAGACGCTACAGCTTCTTTCCAAAACACATAAAACATTTGCTAAATCGTTCATCTGTTGGATGGCAGGGAAAACATTACCATGGGACCCCTGTGATTCCACCGAGCCCACTTGGATGATCCAGGCAAATTTCCCCAACTAAAGAGACTTAGTTGACTCTCTTCTCCAAAGTCCTTTTGCCACGGGAGGAACCACAGTGAGAAATCACAGGAATAACAATGTGGACATCTTCTGCGGGGAGGAGTGAATCTAAGTCTGTATCCTACGGCTGTTCCGCATTAGTCCATTAATGGGGTTGGTGGGCAGGAAGTGGGTGCGGATATTCATGCTTCTGCCCAATGCATCTGTTTGATTGGAAATTCTCAGTGAAGGGAAAGACGCAGCGTATACAACCTAGAGGGTCCGACCCCACTTATTTATTTATGTGTGAGGATATGTGCACATATAGCTGTGATGTGCGAGTGCTGGACAAAGTCGCAACTAACACCACTTCCGCTTACTTAGCCTGGGAGCAAACACTGCGTGCATGTTATTAGTACTGGGGCTACTCACTGAAAGGCTCAGAATGATTTTAATTTTACTTTCTTCACGGACATTTCTAGATGTTTTTCAAGGTTTCCCGAAATGGGTGTACCTTAAATTTATTTGCAGGAATCGGTTATTTGGGATTTCTCCATATTGGCGCCGGTGGGGGCTTCTTCTGTCAGGGTCTTTATCAGTATTATAAATGTTGAGAATTATAATAATATGAATCACCCAGTGTAGACACGAGCTGGCAGGACTGTGGGCATCCAGTCCAAGTATACGTCTTATGTCCTCAGTCTACATAACACCCTCGGTAGTTAGCGACCGGAGCACTTCATTATGGAGAAAGTTGGCAACAGCAGGACGAAAGCTGTGTCTTGCGCTCAACAGGAATTTGAGACTTTACAGACAGATACACAACAAGACTCTGTTATATCATCGGTAGATGCTCCATAATTCACTCTCTGCCCTTCACTTTCAAGGTGATCCTGGTGGTCCTACCACAGCCCCTTGTTGTTCTTTTCTGCAGATCGTAAACCAAGCACGTCTGGCTTATCTAACATCTCCAGGGACACAGCTGGAATGTGGGTGTGGGGAGGCTGGACCCTCTGCATGCCGTGTCCATTTTTCCTCTTCGGGGAATCCCATCCACGTGTTGTCATCACTTCAGCCCAGACTTTGTCCTACACACACACACACACACACACACACACACACACCTTCCTCTGTGCTTGGGACCTGTGTTTGCTGCTCCATGTCACAGACACATGGAGACACAACATGCTCAGGGATTTCACCCTGAGGTGAAAGGTGGCACTGGCCCTAAGACACAATCTCTTGATTTTCCTTGAAATTTCCTTGATTTCTCTTGACTTGACTTGCCTTGCCTTTTCCAGCTCCTAGAGGCTGTTGGCATTCCTTGGCTCGTGGCCACTTCCCGATTCCATCTTCGAAGCCAGTGGGGTAGCATCTGCAGTTCCCCCTGTCTCTCTATGATGTTTGCTTCTGTCTGCGCATCACCTTCTCTGACTCTGAGCCTCCGTTTCCCTCTTGTGAGGACACTTGTGGTGACCTTGGACCACTAAGGTAATCCAGGACCATCCCCATCACAGGGGCCCACACCCAATCCCCATCTGCAAAGTCCCTTTATTCATCTAAGGACACACATTAACAGGCTCTAGAGATCAGGATGTGGACATCTTTGGGGATGCTATTTTGTCTACCACACTGGGTTTGGCATGTGGACGTGTTTGGGGGTGCCATCTACCCCGTATTCTTTCTCCCACATGGGGATCGACACATGGACATTAGTGGGGACATTATTCTGTCCACTGTGTGGGAACCGGGATGAAGACAATTGGGGGACATTATTCTGTCTCCCATATGGGGACCAGGATGTGGATGTTTCTGGGGACATTATTCTGTCTCCCATAAGGGGATTCAGGATGTGGATGTCTTTGGCAGGCGGGGTGGGGGGGTCATCATTCAACCCACCACACCCACCTTAGGAGAGCTCGGTATTTCACAGGCAGGAACATTAAGGTGATAAACAAGCACCGTTGACCTCCTAGAAATCATTCTCTAGCAAAGGAGACAGACACTCAACAGGCAATTATTCTGGGACATGGCTTATCCTAGAAGTGCCTCCTGCGATATGACAATACGGTCACGTATAAATAATAGAAGAGTCTGCATCCCAAACATGATCTGTCTGGAAATCCCTGGGCTTCTGAAGTAGGCGTCCCATGGAACCCAGGATGGGAGTAGGGCCACAGGGACAAATGGCCCTGGGGCCAGCAGGGTGGCCAGGATGGTGCCAGTCAATATTGCGATGGATTCATCACCAGTGCAGTGTGCTCAGACTTACCTTGATTTATGGGAAGCAAAAGCATGTCTCCTGTGTCTCTCACCTTGGTTTGTGTGTGAGCATTCATTCTTGCTCTGTGTGTTGGGAATTCTGACTCAATATTCTTTTGGAGATATTTGGGAGGAGTCAACAGATGCAAACAGGTCTTTCAACCACGGGACTTCACAGAGAAGGAATGGTATGGTCCATGTCCAGGAGGGTCTGCAGAATTTCCCAGAACTATTTGCCCAGGATCCTCCTCTATGATATCATCTTCTCCTGCCAAGGTGACTGGTTGAAAGGATGTGGGTTAACGGGACCCACTTCTGTTTAGCAGCCACATGCGTCCTGTCTCCTGGAGAACGGACCTGACTGTGCTCCACAAAGAGGACTCCCGGGGGCCAAGGGAAGCTAGAATTTGCGCTTTTGTCCTCTCTCTGTCTCTCTCTCTCTCTCCCTCTTTTATTTAATTCTTAAAGATAAGAGCTATCAAGATGTTGCAAATGTTAAGCACTTCAGAGGAGGAATAGTGTTTGCATTTGCTAGTGTGATGAAAATAGAACCAGACTGCCTCTTTCTGGAAGCTCAGGATCCAAGCTGAGCATTTATCCAACACACGAAGAATCAATAGTATATCTCCTACAGGGCCGGCTCAGTATTTATAGCATATTCACATAAAAATTATACTTATCCCGTCTCCCATCCCCACACCTGATTAGGTTTGAAATCACTGCCCAGAATTGATGTTTTATCCTTGTAGGACTTCTTCCCGTACCTCTCATGGATGAATTGCCCGACATCAAGAATTCCTAAAAATAAATATGGCAGTGGTAACCCTTGAGAAATAGAATAACCCTGAGAAGTAAACGATTCTCACCTGGCCAGGTACATCCTGATGGAGTTTGCATCCACAGAAGACTACAGTTGAGTGAGGAGTAATGGTACCTGCTTCTTGGCAGACAGATGCCTGAGCCGTTTTCCTATTTATGCACTTGGTGTTTCCTCTACAAAACAGGCTCTGCCATCATCTGGTCTCCCTTCCAGGAACACGGAAGGTGGTGAATCAGCACTGCGTGTGTGTGCGTCAATGGATTATTGGATCTGAATGTGTGTAGACCACTTCTCATCGATGCCTTCTGTTTGTTTTCCAATGTGTCGCTCCCTGTTTTCTGCCGTGTGATGGGTTTCCCTAGAACAGAAGGCACTTGGATGTTCCTCTGGTGGTGGGTGTTTGCAGGGCTGTTTGACATGATTTATTATATCCCAGAACTGCCAGAAGAGTAGGCTGGAGGCTGTGAATGTGCATTGCATCTCCTGAACACCTTTGTTTTTTCCACTTGCCCTTTGTGAGCTTCCAGGAAGTACGCTGAGTAAACATTGGTTTTCCAATTATCCAGATGCCCCGGAAGCATGTTCCCCAGAAGCTCTTCTGAAAACCACCTGGCCTCAGGTGTCCTCGATGGTGCAGATGGCGGATCCAAGTGGATGGTACTTTCCATCGAGATCCGTTGCTCAGTATGGAAACATCTCAGTAAATGATTGGATCCTTGCCATCGTCACGGCGTATGGGGTGGGAGATATGTTTGCCTTTTATGGTAACATGGAGAAAGTTATTCCACAATGGAAATGGGAATACGGAGCCTGGGCAAGCCATGGGGATCCATCCACATGATGTGTTCCCCATTGTGTTCACATTGAAGAATTACTTTGGATACGCATATTTGTGCCTTCGATTTCGACATTTTCACTGGCTCACATGTGACTGTGCATTCACTACCCCTGCGCCCCAGTCCCCATGCACCTGTGGGTTCATTGCCACCCATGTTGCCTGGAACGACAGATGTTCATCAACCTATAGATAGATTTTTCCCAGTGTCCTTTTGCAAGGCACATGCACAACTCCTTCCCTGTTCATGTTTTATGGGCAGAATCAGAACGCTCATCGCTCCCTTCCAGAATGTTCTACTCCTCCATCCCCCACATTTGCATATCCCTCTCCTGACTACCACGGTTGCTGGCTTCCAGGCATCTTTGGTTTTGCTTTCTGTGATGCCACTAATGCATATGTCCACAGAATCCAAAGCTTGGACAGGGACAGTAGCTCTGAAGGTAGGGGTAGCAGTCATCCCCCAGAGTGGTGGTGGCATTTCTGAAATGTTCCTCGCATTCTGGAGTGAGGAAGCCTTCATCTGGCCCACATGCCACCAGACAGAAAGTGCTTTCTTCCCTCTCTTCTTTCTGCCTTTCTTGTTTTCTGCAAGGCACACGACACTCTCTCCTCTGCCGCACTTAGGACGTATGTCTTCTGTTTCCTTGTTTTGCTTCGTAAAGAACAGCACGTGGTTCCGCATGCAGGTCCACTCACCAATCACACGCATGGCTCAAAGAGCAGATATTTTTATTGCTCCTTTTCCCGCTTTCCAGTTGGCAAAGGGAGATACCAAGGTCTCAGCAATGCTCACTCTCAAGGGACAGCCCTCCGAAGCGCTCATGTGACAGCAACATCTCAAAAACACAAATGCACCTCCCTGGATGCACAGTTAAAATTCCTCCTTCAGCACGGAGGAGACGTTCCATTATCGTCTGAGATCAATGATGTTCTGCACAGGCAGGTGTCCGGGACATTTTGCCTTAGAATTAGAGATGAACGTGGAATGTCTCAGTATGCGACATAATCGTGGATTACGTGTGTGCAGGGGATCCCAGATGGCTTTGGCTATGGCCTCCATGGTGCCGAGAACCCCCACCTCGCTTCCACGAGCCCGGGAATGGATTGGACACTCCAGGAGGTGACCAACTGTAGGCACGGCAGTGATGTTCTCGCCACTCTTTAAAAGCACCCTTTTCCCCGATGATGCTGCTAGAACGCCAAGAATTTGCTCCAAAACCGGTTTATGATTTCTGGAGTAACCTTGAACTCGTTATTGTCAAATTCTTAAGAGTGTGGATCAGTGAGTTTGGGCTATGATCTGTCACCAGAAACTTGTGTCAGACGAGGATTCATGCTGGCATTTCCCCTCGAGCTCGACAGTTACCCCACGCTTACTTGTCGGGGACATTATCATAGATAATCCATGATAGAAACAGAATGAGTCGGATATGGTAAGCCTTCGGGCCATTAGGCTCCGGTTGTCCTTCAGCTCCTGTGTGCGTTCATTGGACCGTTGATGTCCCCGAAACAAGTAGCACTAATGAATCCAGCAGTTCAGCCCGGGGGGGGTGAAACCCAAGGTCCGTGCAGCCGCCCCAAGGGTCAGCAGAGCAGAGTCCCCTAGCTATTTTCTCTGCTACCATCTTGCAGGTACTCGAAGGCCATCATGAGGAAGAGAATAACCCACAATAGTTATTTATTTTATGACAGATTGTCTTTAACTAACCAGATGGAAGCCCTGGGACTTCACTGCAGGTTAGCACCCCAAAATTCAGAATAATCCTTAGTGAGCCCCATAACCCCCACAGACGCCCCTATTCCATTATGTGGGGTTTTCCAATGAATTTGGATACTTGGAAGGCTGAGTTTGGTGACAAACCTTTGTCCCACGAGATGGGGCTCTCCAATATGGAATTGGTAATGCATGCATGCAGACATATTCCAGGAATCGATAATGGGCATGCACTGATATTCCAGGAATTAATAACTTATACATGCAGGGATATTCCATGAATTGATGATTTAGTCATGCACTGATATTCCAGGAACTGATCATTTATGCATGCAGTGATATGCCAGCAATTGATAATTTAGGTGTGCAGTAATACTGCAGAAAGCCCTAATTTAGGCATGCACGGATATACCGGCAATCGATAATGGGCATACCCTGGTCTTCCAGGAATTGATCATGTCACTCCGTGATATTCCGGAACTGGTCATTTATGCATTCACTGATATTCCCCACATTGGTCATTTACCCATGAAGCAATGTTCTAGGAATTGATAATTTCGTCATGCACGAATGTGCAGGAATTAATAACAGGCATGCGCCGGTATCGCAGCAGTTGATAATTTAGGCATGCACGGATATTCTAGTAGCGACCGCTGTGTTATAAATCACCCCCAATCCGAATGACTCAAAAATGAACATTTCTATTGCTTGCAATTTGGGGGGCAGAGGAATCTGGGCGGCTCTAGCTCTGGGTGTCCCTCGAGCTTCGATTTACCTGACGGCTCACCTGGGGCTGGGTGTCCAGATGGCTTGCTTCAGTGCTGGGGGGTTGGCGCTGCCCAGCGCTCCGGCTCAACGATGACGGTTGACCAGATGACTGCCATGACTTCTCTCCAATGTGGCAGCCTCGGGGGCACCAGCCAGTCTTCTTCAGTGAAGCTGGTTCTCCCCAGAAGCAGCGTTCACAGCCAGGTAGGGCCCGCAGGGTCTTTCCTGACCAAGCCTTGGAAATGGTCCAGAATTGCCATCACTCCTACCTTGTACTCAGCACAGAAAGCTGCACGAGGCGGCCAAGATCCGAGGGATGATGGGACACAGACTCCGTCTCCCCACCAAGCAGGAGTCAGAAATGTATGCAGGCTCGTTTGCAGCTGCTTAGAGCTCGGGTCCTGTCCCAACCAGCCTCGCAGAAGCCGGGAGTTCGAGGTGAGCCAGGCTCCCCCAGCGAGGCATCTGCAGTCCCCTAGGCACGGACACAGCTCCCCTTATCTGGCTTCATCACGCACAATATGATAATCAAGGAAATGGCATCAGCAGGGAGGCGCTTACCTGTTCTCAAAATGCCAGACTTCACACCCGCTTGAAGGCTCGGGTGCCAGGTGCCCTTCGGGAATGCGTTCTTAGCTGACTTGAGGACCTGTGTATTTATTCTTAAATACACCTTTCACTGAATGTATTCTAAGACCCCATGGGGCTTCGTTTGCGCGTGTATGTAGATCTCATCCCTGCGGGTCTGCGAGAGCTAAGCTCAGGGGATCCATTTTCAATCCTCTGGATGGGTTTTCAGACGGCTGGGCCTTCCGGGAGGTGGCGGAAAGCACTTAGCATCGCAGAAGGCGTGTGTGTGGGATGCAGGCCACGGGCTCTCATTTCCACCTCTTTAAAGTGACTTACCTACCTTGCTGCACCCCAGACTCCATACTCCTGCCGTGATCCCCACAGCCCAGATCAGACATTTCCTTTGCCCTGAGCACCTCACAAGTGACAAGCCTGCATGAGGGCTGGACATGTAGGGGTGTGAATGCACAGAGTGCATCTTGCATTCCTGCATGGCCGCCCGCTAGTGTGCGGCGGCGTGCCGTGTGGCCTGTGTGTGCAGGGAGGGGCCTCGCAATCCAGCAGAAAACTCTACACGTATGCAGAAGCATTGATGATTGCATGTGGAGATGCATCTGCATGCACACCTAACACACGTGTACATATGCAAATACATCCATGTGTCCACGTGAAAGATGCATGAACACAAACACGTACACGGGTGCAAACACATCTACCTAGAGAAGCGCGTAGACATGAAATACAAGCACATGCAAATGTGCACACAAATAGATATGCCCGTGTGCGTGCAAAGCAGGCACGTATATGGACTCGTTTGGAAATTCCAAACATGCGCAAATAAACGTGGGAATGCATGCATTATCCACAAATATGTTTGCAAAAACGTGAAATGCAAACGCAGAAGGATATTCAAACACCTTTGCCGACACAGTTACAAGCACATTAACATGTGTAAATACACACATAAAGAGACACATAAATACATGACTAGGCATATGCAGATGTGCCTGGAAACATCTACGTGTATACGTTTACACGTTTGTGTGCAGCTGCACGTGCACATGGATGCATGTGCCTGTAAGCACATATGCACGTGTACATATGCAAACATACCTGCAATAAATGCACAAGTACACACAGGATTGCACCATGTGAGATACACATACAGGTACATACGTGCCGTCCGACAGATGGACGCTGAAGCAAGCTGGGCTGCTCCAGGACACAGACTCGTACGGACCGGGCGTGTTTGCTGCGTGTCCGGGAGGTGGTGTCCATGTAAGGACGGGACGTGGGCGGGGGGGCGATGAGGTGACTGGGTGATGGGCACTGAGGAGGGCACTTGAGGGGATGCGCACTGGGTGTTAGACTGTATGTTGGCAAATGGAATTTCTTTAAAAAAAAGGGGAAAAAATAAAATCTAAAAGCAAAAAAAACAAAAGAAAAACAATAAAAAGACGCAGTGACGGGCAGTCAGCTGGGCTTTGCCCTGATGGGCGTGGGGAGGTAGTGAGCCTGGGGGAGGATGCATACGGGGGCACAGGCAACATGCTTTTATGAATATGTTGGTGAGGTAACAGCCAGCAGGGCTGGCCTGGGGTCTGGGGCGGGGGCGACCGTGTGAATAGTTGGGTCAGTACTTTGCAGGGGGCAGCCTGGGGGTCGAGCGTGAGCGCCCCTATGTGTGCAGGGAGCTCCTCCAACAAGCGACCGTTTGTGCGGACGGCTGTTGTGTCGTGTCGGGAAGAATCAACGTCCCGGGGCTGGCGCGGGGTGCGGGCGGGGAACCCTGGGCTCCCCGTGAGGACCATGTGTCCCGCCCCCCCGCACCGAGCCTGTGTGCGGACCGGCTCCCCCATGTCCCTGCAATCCCCTTCCTTGCAGCCGGGGTGATGATGGTCCCTGAGAGGACGACCGAGGACGGCTTCGAGGAGCACTTCGGGCTGAACTACCTGGGCCACTTCCTGCTCACCAACCTCCTGCTGGACACGCTGAAGGAGTCGGGAGCTCCCGGCCGCTGCGCCAGGGTGGTCACCGTGTCGTCGGCCACACATTACATCGGCGAGCTGGACATGGATGACCTCCAGGGCAGGTGCGTGCTCGCAGGAAGCCGCGCGGGGCTCGGGCTTGCGGTGGGCCTCGCCCGGGGGGCGCGAGGGGGCGCGGGCCATGGTGTGCAGCGTCACGGGAACCGGTGCTCCCCTCCGACCAGGTCGGTCAGACACCTGTCTTACCATAAGCATGACCACTAGCTGCCAATTATCCACCGTTTTGCTCTGAAGCGCCTCATGGGGACCAGCCCATGACTACGGCACACAGATGCCCTCACCTAAATACTCCCGTCTTCATTTTATGCCTGATGAAACCAAAGCGTATGAAAAAAAGAAAATCTTCCTGGGGCACCTGGGTGGCTCAGCAGTTGAGCATCTGCCTTCAGCTCAGGTCGTGACCCTGGGGTCCTGGGATCGAGTCCCACGTCGGGCTGCCCGCAGGGAGCCTGCTTCTCCCTCTGCCTGTGTCTCTGCCTCTCTCTCTGGGTCTCTCATGAGTAAATAAATAAAATCTTAAAAAAAAAATCCTCCTAATGTCACTAGACAATCACGCATAGAGTCGATATTCCATCCCAGGAAATAAGTACGCACAACAGAACAAAACCACCAATTTGGACTCCGCTCCATTGTCAGAATCACTAAAAACCTCCCTGCGAACATTCTGTGGTGTTCTCTTACTGCACCCCACAATGCATGTCTTGTTTTCAGCGTTTTTTTAAATTCTAATTTTTTTTATCGAGGTACAATTGCTATATACTCAAAAATTACATTTGTACCTCAATATTATAACCCTAATTATGACAGCATAATTATACATTGTAGCATGATTATAATCACATTATATAATATATATATAATTTAAGTATAATTGTTATATATCATATGTATGGCATTACAGTGTCACAAATATGATTATTATGTAACATTATACGTTAAAATGTAATTATAAGTGTTATATACTGTCACACATGTTTTAAAATTTTTTTTTAATTTTTATTTATTTATGATAGTCACAGAGAGAGAAAGAGAGGCAGAGACATAGGCAGAGGGAGAAGCAGGCTCCATGCACCGGGAGCCCGACGTGGGATTCGATCCCAGGTCTCCAGGATCGCGCCCCGGGCCAAAGGCAGGTGCCAAACCGCTGCGCCACCCAGGGATCCCTGTCACACATGTTTTAAAGAGTATGATTGTTATATAATATATATGACATTATACTGTTGCCATTGTAACTTACACATTAAAAAGTTACAATGTAATTGAAATTACATGATATCTATCATGTCATGTCGTAATTGCTATGTCATGGGACATTATACATGTTATATTGTTTCATCGTCACAATTGTTATAGGTGTCACGACGTTATCCTGTTATAATAATCATACAATGTGACTAACGTGTCACAACATTGTAGTGTTGTATAATCATATATCATAATTATAATATAATTGTATAATTAACTGTATTATTATAACACTGCAGTGTAACGTTACACTGTTACAGTTATACAATGTGACGTTATATGTGTCATGACGTTATCCTGTTATAATCATCATACAATGTGACGTTATATGTGTCACGTTATCCTGTTACGATTATCATTGTGACATTATGTGTCTCGCGATGTTATCATGTTATAATTCTTACATAATCGACCTTATATATGTTGTCACATTACAATGTGATAATCACTATCGCCACCTAATGTGACATTCCGTTAGTGTTGGGGGGACAAGGAAACGATTCGCCAGTGGCACGAATCCCAAAATCGTCATCATACTAATTGCTAATTGCACTTAACGTGCATCATCGTCAGACCACGTGCATCATCATCAAACCACGTGCATCTTATGCTCCTGCTGCTTAGCTGTGCGGTGTTATCATTTTTATTTTTATTTTTGGTAGAAAGACACAAGTTGGGCGTGGATCCAGGCGTCTGAAGCAATGACATCTTCTCCTTTGCAACTGCCGGGGGCCAACCCCCTAGCTCGGTGTGCCGCGCCTGGGTGACTGCTGGTGGCCCAGGAGGCGCCGCGTTCCCATCTGTGTTTCGCGCTCTCTGCTCCTTAAGGAGAAAGGAGTCCCCGAGTGTGATTGGGGTGCGAGCTTGCGTTTGTGTGGGCAGCTGTAACTGTGTGCGGAGGAAACGCCCTGCCTGTGAGGACCCAGACGCCTGGTCCAGGATGTGTGCGGGCTGGATGCTCTCGACACCCCGAGGGATTGGGTGGCCCAGCCGTGCGGCCCTGGGGGTAGTTTCCAGCATGTGTTTATGCATAGCAGCGCCCCATCCTAGGTCTTCCAGGGAGTTCTCAGCCATCCGTTAGCCAGCCTGGCTCCTGGGTGGGTGGGGTCTCTGCTTGTGCCCTGGGGGCAGGGACTACCCTCCCTGGGATTTCCCCTGGGGGCAGGAGGGAGAAAGTGGATCCGAGGTTCTCTGGGGGAGCAGGTGGTCTCTGAGGACGGGCATGGAGACGGGGCTGCCCAGGTGCTGCAGGATGAGCCTGTGCAGAGAGGAAGCAGGTGAAGCCAGCACGCGGGGGGTGGCGGGTGTGGATGGCCGTGCTGGTGAGGCGGCTGCATGTTAAAATTCGACAACCCCTTGGGCTTCAAACCCTCTGCTTTCCCATGTGAAGAAACTCGATCCTCGCTTTCCCCCTGGTGTAGACACAAGCTGGCCAGTTACTGATCGTTGCCAACACTGCTTTGCTGGAACAGAGAAGAGGGGCGGACTCTCTTGAAAATTGTAAATCAGTGCAACGGACTCATGAAGAAGTGGATAGCTTTCTTAAAAAAATGAGTTTCACTTTGGGGGAAAGGGATGAAAGTGTCATCATTTAAGTTAAAAACATCTCGATAAATATTTATAGTTGGTTTACATGTACGACTGAGAGAGACAGAGACGTAGATTCATTTAAGGAATTGGCTCAAAGATCAGCGCGGCGGCCAAGGCCAAGATCTGCAGGGTCGACCAGCAGGCTCAAGATGCAAGGAAGAGTCTGTGTTGCCATCTTGACCCTAAACACGGATAATTCAGGTAGGATTTCCAAGCTATAGTGATGAGGCCACATTCTTTCTTCTTTGGAGGAGACCTCCATGTTTCCTCTTAAAACCTTCAACTGATTAGACGAGACCCACCCAAGTGACAGAATGGGAGCTGCTTTACCCCGAATCTCCTGATGTCAGCATTAATCCCATCTGAGAAAATACCTTCGCAGCGACGATTAGACTGGTGTCTGAGCAAGCCCCTGGGCAGCATATGCAGGAGGCTCTTCCGGCTACGCCACGGCTTGTCTGAGAGTGCCCGGCCTCCCTCGGCCACGGGCTCCTCTGTGTAAACCTGAAGAGTGAGTGTCCGTGCATCGTGTGACCATTTGTAAGGACGTTTTCACAGCCCGTGATGTCACTCGTTGGAAACCCAGGGCTCTCAATAAATTCCCCGAAGTGTTCACGCGTTTCTGCACTGCCCTGGGATTGCGTTACACGCCCCTGATGTGCCCGCCCTGTTAAATCAGCGACCGCGTCGCACGTTTGCACGAGGCTGCAAATTGGCACGTGGGCGCCAACGTCCCCAGGGCTGTTTCTGGAGCGTCCCTTTGTGCACACGCAGAGGCCCTTCCTTGCTCACGGGATTTCCTGAGCCCCTGCTCTGCGGTCCGTATTCCCACAGTCCTCGGGAATATGAAAGGTGGAAGGCCAGGGATGGGCGCCACATGACACGTGTCCGTCCCGCTAATGGAAAACGTGGTCTGGAGGTGACAGGTGACTCGACTTGCCTCAGAACAGGTGCCGTTCATCCTTGGTCCCAAAGAGGCTGATCGGGGTCGGACCCGGGGAGCATCTGGGCTCACGGTCGCAGGTGGACTTTCCGTCATCGTGTTGGTTGTGCCATGTATGCATTAATGTCCCACAAGGGAGATCTCACACCTTATTCACATGATGTGAGTGTGACACCCTCGGTTGTGTTGCCTTCTGCACGCCTCTTTATCGAGCTGAAAATGTGCGTTTCAAACACCATGAGCGACATGCAAATTCAGACACCTGAATTTTTTTTTTTCATTTCAGTAAGAAAACTCGATAAATTGCGTTTTTCGGCAGCTCGAGATACTCTCTCAGAAATCCCATGGTCCTGGGCACAACTTCTAGGATGGTTGAGGGAGTTTGGGAAACCCACTCCTCGTGAAACAATGAAAAATAACAGAAAAGGTCCGCGGGTTTCTAGGACGGGAGGGTGTTGATTGTCCTACAAGAGGTTGATGGGCAGTATAGGGCAGCTTGGCGGAGAAGGAGCCCTGTGTGCGGGCGTGGGAGTCGTTAAATAACCCGTGAAACCACATAGAAACTATATCGACGGACATGGTGTAGACAGGAGTGTGCTCCGATCTGACTTAAAGCAGAACTTCAGAGAGATTCACGAATCCTACCAAAGTAACCCTTTAACTGCTGTTAGTATATATGTTTATTAACCTTTTCAGAACTTACCCTGTCCGGAAGCCCAGACCCCCTTTCGTTGGTCTCCTCACACCTCCACCATTTACCAAGTGTTCGTAAATTGTAAATAAACCCAAGTCTAATGCTGTTTTTGCACTTTTTAAAAGCTATTTTCTATGAAAACCCGCATACGTGTATTTAAAATTGGCATGACTTCCCCCTGTAGAGCTGGCTGTCGTATTTAATTTGCATCCCTCCGTTGCAGAGCACAAAAGTACACCAGAAAAGTGTTTCTGCTTCGACAGGAGGCGAGACTATTACCGTCGATGACTTTGGTTTCAAGTCGACCTCCTGCTTATGCGTGAAGCGATGACACCGATAACGTTCTTTATTTACTGAAAATAGGGATCTGTGTTTAATTACGGGTCTCGATTCTGCTCTGTGACAACGCTTATTACAAAAGCGAGTCCCTAAAGACTGGCCTTGAGATCGGAGCCACGCGGCCGCGTCCTGAATGAGTCCGCTCGTCGTCAGGCGGCGAGGGGCGCCGTGTGGTTCTGGTTGCGTCCGCGAATTACCCGTGAGCGTTCAATACCTTCGTTGTCTATGGCGCCCAGTGCCTTTCTGGGCTATAGGGTTTCATTGAGGACCAGCGTCAGCGGGGGCATCGCGTCCTCCTGTTAATTGGACCTGAGGTGGGAGTTTCATTTCCCCATAAACCCGCCGGGGACGGGGTGGGGGTGGAGGATGGGGGTGGGAACCTCCTGGAAATAGCTGGTCGTTACCTACTTTCTTCCTGCCTCCTGTAGAGAAACACAGACGCACGTACTGGACCCCCCACCCCGTCCCCGCTGTGTGTTCCTAACGTTCTGGGTGCTCCCCTCTCCCTGCTACCCTGTAACACCATCATCACAGAACGCCTCTGTTTGTCCCCGACAAACGTGCATATTGATGTTCCCCACCGTTTATAAGGGCCGCATCCCAAGCAATGGTGCCAGTGGAGACCCCGACGCTCGCGTGCACATGGCGCGCAGGTGGCCGGAAGCCAAGATGAAAGTCGGCATCGATTTCCATGCACTTCATCACCCCCTGCTTCCTGGACCCGCATCTTCTCCCCTATGGGAAGCACATAGGACACACATTTCCAAAAAAAAAAAAAAAAAAAACAAGTCCCTTGGCCATAATTGAGGGTTTGCAGCTCGTCTTGTGCCGGGGACAGAATTTGCACAGTCTCCACCAGCCTGTATTGTTCTTATAATCCGTCCCTACAAAAAAAGGGCACGTTTGGGATCATTTTGGCAATCGCTCGTTGGCACGTTGGCCCGGTTGGCACCCTTTGCTGACCTGCCGTCCTTGCACCGGTCGCTGAATTTGCCCGAACCCATAGAAGGTGCGCCCGCGAGGATGAGCTCTAACGCACGGTGCGCTATGCACCTGGGTGGTGATGACGTGTGGATGCAGCAGGTGTGCCTAGCACAGCCTCTGCTGGGGATGCTGATAACGGGCGTGGGGTGGGGGGGCGCGTGCATGTCCATCTGCGGACACGGAGGGGCCACGGGAAATCTGCACCTGCCTCTGAGTGTCGCGTCAACTGAAAACTCCAAAAATATACATCCTGGTTAAAAATATGAGCATCGTGTCCCTTGCACGTCATGAGGCCACAAGGATGGTAACGTTGACCTCACTCCAATTCCCACTTCTGTATATTTACTGTGAAACTTTACTGAGCGTGTCTGTTTTCGAAAAAATGAACATAGAAACAAATGTCACATGCGGACAGGTCGTATTTATGCCAAGCTTTTGGAGCTGGGCTCTCAGCTCTGTTTTTGCCTTCACATTAAAGGCAGGTCGGGGGCGGGGGGGGATCACCCAATGCTTACGATCACTGGGATGCTGGACTTTCTGTTCTGTTCTGGGGCATCAGGTCAGCGGCCTGGGTGACATCCCGGGTGATGGAGCCTCAAGGTTGTTGTACAAACTGGAAGAACCGTCATGAGCAGAGGGAGTGGAAACCAAACATCAGAATAGCCTAGGGGAAGACAGCAGGTGGGAGACTGTGTCCCCAGACAGGTGAGGGACCCGGGCAGGTGAGGGACCCAGTCAGGTATGGGCCTGGCAGGTGAGTGACACAGGCAGGTTAGGGACCCAGGCAGGTGAAGGACCCAGGCAGGTATGGGCCTGGCAGGCGAGTGACACAGGCAGGTTAGGGACCCGGGCAGGTGAAGGACCCAGTCAGGTATGGGCCTGGCAGGCGAGTGACACAGGCAGGTTAGGGACCCAGGCAAGAGAAGGACCCAGTCAGGTATGGGCCTGGCAGGCGAGTGACACAGGCAGGTTAGGGACCCAGACAGGTGAAGGACCCAGGCAGGTATGGGCCTGGCAGGCGAGTGACACAGGCAGGTTAGGGACCCAGGCAAGAGAAGGACCCAGTCAGGTATGGGCCTGGCAGGTGAGTGACACAGGCAGGTTAGGGACCCAGACAGGTGAAGGACTCAGTCAGGTATGGGCCTGGCAGGTGAATGACACAGGCAGGTGATGGACCCGAGCAGGTGAAGAACCTGGACAGGTAGGGACCAGGGCAGGTGAAGGACCTGGTCAGGTAGGGATCCGGGCAGGTGAGGGAGCCTGCAGGTGAGAAATGCATCGACGTCTTACCCATGTCCTGCTTTCCTTCCCCAGCCGCTGCTACTCCCCGCACGCCGCCTACGCCCAGAGCAAGCTGGCCCTGGTCCTGTTCACCTACCACCTGCAGAGGCTGCTGGCCGCCCAGGGGAGCCCCGTGACGGCCAACGTGGTCGACCCCGGGGTGGTCAACACGGACCTCTACAGACACGTCTTCTGGGGCACGCGTCTCATCAAGAAGCTCTTCGGATGGTGGTTTTTCAAGGTAGGCCTCCCGCGCTTACTTGGCTGTGCCCGCCTCAGGTCCACGGCCCCACAGGTGGCCACCCCCAGGCCACGTACCAGCCGTGGTTGGGTGCACACTCAGAAGCGTGAGCATCCCCGTGTCCCAGGTCGCCAACACCAAAGCCTCACGGTACAGCCTCCCCGTGTGTGTGTGTGGGGGGGGGTGTGGATTCAAGCACATATTAGTATTTTCTGAAAGCACATGCGATTTTGGCTCTGCTTTCCCCCGGGCGGAGGTATCTGGACGTGCTTTGCACACCTGCATGTGTCTCTAAGGAGCCTCGCCTGCTGCATCCCTGAGCATCCCTCCCTGGAGGATGCAGGCTGCCTCCGTTATACAAACACAAAGTTGCACAGAAGGTCCCTTGCAGGACTCACATGGTCCTCCCCGATGTGCCCCGGGTCCCACGGAGGGTGATGGGAGACCTTTGCCCAAAGATGGGACAGTCCCCGTGTGGGGGAAGCACGTGAGCTTCTGACACGTGGGGCTGAAGCCAGCAAGTCTCATCCTGCAGAGATCCAGATGGTGCATGAGATGCACCTGCCGCCACGCACACAGCTCGAATTCTGCGCGGCGTGGAATTGTGCACAGCATTTCAAGCCACCCCAAATCCCACCTGTAGGAGCTCCCTGGTGCTGCTTCCTTGTCAGCGGGACTGTCATCCTTCCCAATCCGTGTCTCCGCTCTCCCATCAAGCAATGGAGGTTCTGTGATTATTGGCAGGCACGTCCGCGTCGGTCTGCAGCTTCCTTCATTGCTCCAGTTTAGATTCTTGCTCCTTTTTCCCCCATGGGGCGTCTCGTGTGACAATGACAAAGAAAGGAAGCATGCAGCTGTGGGATCCTGGGATCCGGGCACCGCTTCCAGCTCCCAGGGTCCTGGTGAGCGCATGGTATTCATTTCTTCCACGGCGGGGTGGTGTCAATGAGAAAGGAGAAAGGATGAGGTCCAGCGCCATGGAGGGCAGGATGCGAGGCTTCGGGGACAGTGACCACAGTGAATTCACCACCTTGGGGCTCTTCGCGCACCCCCGTGTTGGGGCCACATGGGAACCCAGATCCTAGTCAATGGAAGTCATCCTGTGACTTCCGGCAGGGGGTGTTGGGGGGGAATGCTGGCATCTGGCCTCAGCCGGCTGTCAATCACCCAGCTCCCCTCTGCAGTTCCACTTAAAATCCAAATCCCCTTTTATGGATATGACTTTCTTGAGTGAATTCTTTGAACATGTCCTTAGCCATTTTGTTTTCCCCATGGCGGGGGTGGGAGGGTGGGGGGGGCTGCTGGCTCAGAAAAAAAAAGAAAACAGAAAGAAAGAAACAAAAACCCTTTCTATCTAATGAGGGATATTTAAGCATGCGTCTCCTGTGGCACATCTCCCCGCCCCCCAATTTCTCGTCATTTATGGTCTTCGACGGGGTAATTTAAGCCAAAATCGAGTCAAAGGCGTTGAAATTGGTTGTCCGTTCTCTCAAGAGGTCGAGTTTCGCTTTGTGGCGTTGTGAAGACTTCCTACTTTCAGGGCTGTTGTCATGTGTGGAAAATCCCCCTGCAGCAGGTGTTTGCAGGGAGTGATGCTGGACCCTGTGTGTGCAGAAGCCCAGCCTTCCTTCTCTGCTGATCCCACTGATCCCAGAGGGGAAAGGCTCTCCTTTTCTAAATACCTGGATGCGCCTGTCTGTTCTGAATTCACCTGTCTGCTCTGGCCATGCCCTCCCCCATGGCTCTGTGTTCTGAGCTTCCTTCTCTCTTTGGCCTAATGATTTTTTTCTTTCTTTTTTTTTTTTTAAGATTTTATTTATTTAATCATGAGAGACACAGAGAGAGAGAGAGAGGTAGAGGCACAGGCAGAGGGAGAAGCAGGCCCCATGCAGGAAGCCCGACGCGGGACTCAATCCTGGGTCCCCAGGATCACGCCCTGGGCCGAAGGCGGCGCTAAACCACTGAGCCACCCGGGCTGCCTCTAATGATTTTTTCAAGATCAACTTTTAGATGATTTGCAGTTTGAAGAAAACAGAAATGATGATGAGGATGTATCTGCGTATTCACCCAATGTCGCTACATCTGTACATTTAGGCTGTTGCCAGCTTTTTATGATAGAAGAGAACAGAGAGAAATGGGATGCGATAGAATGAAAATGGAAAGAGTAGAATAGGATAGAATAAGGCTGAATAAAGTAGAGTAGGATAGGATAGGATAGGAGAAAATAGGATAGAATAGAATAAGAAAGAATAAGATAGGATAGAACAGAACAGGATAGGATCAAATAAGATAGGATAGAATAAAAAAAAGAATACTTACAATAGAGTAGAATAAACCAGAATAGGATAGAATAACAAACAATAAGATAGGGTAGGACAGAACAGAGTAGGATGGGATAGAATGAGAAAGAATAGAATAGGGTACAGTCGGATAGAATAGAATAGAATAAGGTAGGATAGAATAAGAAACAAAAACAGAATAGAATGCAATAGAATAGGATAGAATAAGAAAGACTAGAATAGAATAAAATGGAATAGGATAGGATAGGACAGAGTAAAATAAAATAAGGTAGGGTAGAGTAAGAAACAGTAACCGAATAGCATGCAGTAGAATAGGTTAGAATAAGATAGCATAGGATAGAATAAGAAAGAGTAGAATAAGGCAGGATAGGATAGAATAAAGGAAGATAGGATCAAATAGGGTAGAATAAGACAGGGTAAGAGACTAGATTAGAGTCGAATAAGACAATAGAGTAGGATAGGAGAGAAAAGGAGAGAGGAAACCAAGAGCAGCAGAATAGGATAGAACAAGACAATTGAATAGGATAGGAGAAGGAGTAGATAGGATAGAACAGAATAGGATAGAATAAGATAGAATAGAATAATATAGGATAGGACAGGATAAGAAAAGAGTAGAATAAGGCAGGATAGGATAGAAGACAAGAGAAGAGGAATAGGGTAGAATAAAACAGGATAAGGTAGGATAGGAGAGAGAAGAGAAGAGGAATAGGATACAAAAAAACCAGGATAGGATAGGAAAGAAGAGAAGAGAAAACAGAAGGGAAGAGAAGAGAAGACAAGAGGAATAGGATAGAATAAAACAGAATAGTATAGGATACAATAGAAGAGAGAGAAGAGAAGAGGAATAAAATAGAATAAAACAAGATAGGATAGGACAGAGAAGAGAAGAGGAATAGGATAGAATAAAATAGGATAGGATAGGATAGGATGGATAGGATAGGATAGATAGGATAGGATAGGATGGATAGGATAGGATAGGATAGGATAGGATGGATAGGATAGGATAGGATAGGATAGGATGAATAGGATAGGATAGGATGGATAGGATAGGATAGGATGGATATGATAGGATAGGATCGGATAGATAGGATAGGATAGGATGGATAGGATAGGATGGATAGGATAGGATAGGATAGGATAGGATGGATAGGATAGGATAGGAAAGAAGAGAGGAAACAAAGAGCAGCAGAATAGGATAGAACAAGACAGAATAGGATAGGAGAAGAAGGAGTAAGATGGGATAGAACAGAATAGGATAGAATAAGATAGAATAAAATAACAGGATAGGATAGGAAAAAAGAGAATAGGATAGGATAGAGGAGAAGAGAGAGAAGTAGGATAGAATAAAACAGGATAGGAGAGAAAGAAGAGAAGAGAAGAGAAGAGAAGAGAAGAGAAGAGAAGAGAAGAGAAGAGAGAAGAGAAGAGAAATAGGACACAATAAAACAGGATACAATAGGATAAAGTAAGAAAGAATAAAATAGAAGAGAATAAGAAATAATCAGGTAGGATAGACTAGACTAGAGTAGAGAGGAAGAGGACAAAATAAGACGGAACAAAGTAGAGTAGGCCGGGCTGGCTGGGCTGGGCTGGGCTAGAGTTAAGGGCAGAGGAGGGGAGACCCAGAACCGAAGTTAACTGGCAGCCATTTCTAACTAATCTGGGGTGGGGTGGGCGTTGAGACCTCACACGGTGATCATCTTTGTCAGAGAATAAGTCGTCTTTCCGCTCAGTTGTGTCTTTCTCCAAGCTTGCGACTTTGTGGTTTATAATGAAAACACATGTTTGCTCTTTGCCCCGGTTCTGGCCCAGAGCTCCAGAAACCCTTGGAATTTCCGGCGGGTGCAGAGAGCCCGGAGGTCTCTTTTGTCACGTGAATAGGCTGACTTTCAGAAATCCCCTAAGGAGGGGGCCGGTTGCCAGGGGAACCAGCCACGTGATTGGAAGCCTCTGGGCACTTTGCGCCTCACCCCTGACCTCCCGGGAGAGGAGGCGGGGACTGCAGGTTGAATCAGTCCCCGGCGACCAATGATTTAATCCTACGATAAAGCCTCCCTTTGTAGAAAGTGAAAAGGTCGGGGTGCGGAGAGCTTCCGGGTTGGTGGGCAGTGCAGGTTTGGGCCGACAGGTGCACCTGGCAAAGCCATGGAAGCAGCTCCACGCCCGTCCCCACACCTGGCCCCAGGCATCCCTTCACCTTGGCTGTCCCTGAGTTAGAGCCTGTGATAAAAAAAAAAAACCCGTGATCTAGCCTGTGACCTGTTTCCTGGACCCCGTGAGTCACCCTAGGAGATCAGTGAGACCCCAGGAGGATGTCCTGGGAACCTCCACTCTGTACCTGGGTGAGTCAGAAGCACAGGTGACAACCTGGATTGGTGATGACGTAGGGGGTGACGGGCAGGCTTGTAGGGCTGAGCCCCCTACCCTGTGGGATCTGACGCCATGGCCAGGTAGATAGGTCAGAACTGGGTTGACGTGGGGCGCAGCCCCGCATCTTGGAATTGTGACCAGAACCCCAATGCTTCTCAAGGGGTGTTTCATTAATTCTCCGTAAATGCCTGTACCTTTCCTGTTGGCATTTGTTGCTAATTGTTTTATGAAGCTGCGATGTTTGATTCTGCTGTGAATAGGTTTTATTCAAAACACTGCCAACCGTGAATACAACAAAATACATTCAATGGTCAGAAGTCACATTGTCAC